TGTGTGAGGGTGTATATTATCTGCATATGTGTTTGTATGTGTGTGTGTGTTTTTGTGTGTGTGTGTGTGTGTGAGTGTGTGTGTGTGTGTGTGTGTGTGTGTGTGTGTGTGTGTGCGTGTGTGTGTGTGTGTGTGTTTCCCTCTCTAATGTTTCAATTTAAACGTGTGTCATGCTTGAATTCCTGATAGTGGTCGATTTAGAAGAATAGAAAACATAAGGTCCGTGTAGGTGAGAGGGATCGGGGCGCGTGGGTGGGTGGGGGAGAGTTGGAAAAGGACGAGGGGGGGGGGAGCAGCAGCCAGAACCCCGTCAATCTCACCAGGAAAGCAATCACTGATTGTTCTTGTGCGGCTTTAATCTATGTGCGCTGTAAACATATGTGAGGCAGCGTGGTGGAATCAGGCTCTCGTCAAAATAATCAAAGTTAAGAAACTTGCATTTTTCCGCAGGTTTGTGAATTTTTAATCAAATTTTCCTTTTTGGGCTGAACACCTATCATGCCCATTAAAGAACTCATTTCTGTATTGATTTATCTGAAGCATGTTGTTTGAATTCACTAAATTTGTACATTTTCAGTTTCCACGGACTCTTAATCAAAGGAAATAACTAATCTTTGGTGGCCATTTTCTCACTAATTTTTACCTCTGAAAACAGGTGACCCCCACCTCCTTTAATTGCAAATATCTCTACTTGTAATTAAGATAAATAGATATTTTTTCATACAAATTAAGACAAGTGAACAAGCTTTAAGATGATACCAATAACTCTACATGCCTCAAAATTGACGAGAGCCTGATTCCACCACGCTGCCTTCACATATAGGTTCTTATACCCCCGTCTAGCTGTAAACACAAAATGATCTTATCGATTACCTGGAACTAATACTAGTCCACTTATAGCCCACCTCTCAGCTAGGAACCCACCTCTCAGCTAGGAGCCCACCTCTCAGCTAGGAGACGGTCAGTGACGTCGTAGTGTCAACTTCCTTGTCTACCAAACTCTCTTTATGGTTCTACGTACGGCCCTATGTCGCAATAGCCAAGACAAGCAACTGCAGTGTACATGTACTGAAATCCATAGGGTGCCCACCTGTGACCCTTCACCCCGACTTCTTAACCATACCC